GACGCTGTTCACCCGTCCCGCCGGGGGGGAGCGCACACCGCGACGCGGGTGACGCTGTTCACCCGTCCCGCCGGGGGGGAGCGCACACCGCGACGCGGCTGACGCTGTTCACCCGTCCCGCCGGGGGGGAGCGCACACCGCGACGCGGGTGACACTGTTCCCCCCTCCCCGCGCTACAGCCGTGCACTTCGAGAAGGGCGAGTACCAGCGGTGCCGCGAGCTGTGCGAGGAGGCCATCGAGGTGGGGCGCGAGAACCGCGAGGACTACAGGCAGATCGCCAAGTGAGTCGCGGTGTTGTCACCCCCACCTCCRCCGGGAGAGGGGGCAGTCGTGGGGCAACCCCCCCCACCGCACACACACACACACGGCGCCAACACCCCCAACACCCGCCCGCAGGGTGTACGCGCGCGTGGGCAACTCCTACCTGAAGGAGGAGCGGTACCAGGAGGCCATACAGTCGTACAACAAGTCGCTGACGGAGCACCGCACGCCGGAGGTGCTCAAGAAGTGTCAGCAGGTGAGCGGCGGTGCGGGCACGGGGTGTCGCCGGGTGTTGGGGGCCCCCGCCAGGGACACCCCCYGCCCCGTCACCGCCACCAACAGGCGGAGAAGATCCTGAAGGAGCAGCAGCGCCTGGCCTACATCGACCCCGAGCTGGCGCTGCAGGAGAAGACCAAGGGCAACGAGTGTTTCCAGAAGGGTGAGCGGCTGTAGCGGCGCGGGGGGGGGTGTCCCGGCAACAGGCGGACTCGCCGTGACCCCCCCCGCCCCGTCCGCGCGCAAACAGGCGACTACCCCCGCGCCATGAAGCACTACACCGAGGCCATCAGGCGCAACCCCGAGGACGCCAAGCTGTACAGCAACCGCGCCGCCTGTTACACCAAGCTGCTGGAGTTCCAGCTGGCGCTGAAGGTGCCGCCGGGTGTTGCGCAGCGGGGGTTGGTCCCGGGTGACGCGGCGGCTGTTGCGTTCACAGCGGGTGTTCGGAGGAGGGGAGGTGGTTGTTGCGGGTGACGCGGCGGCTGTTGCGTTCACCCCCGAGCTAACAGTCGCTCTCGGCAGGACTGTGAGGAGTGTATCCGGCTCGATCCCTCCTTCAGTAAGTGCGAGACCCCCCCCCGGCCTTGTCACCCCCCACCCGCGGCGTCACCCGCCCCGCTCACAGGCGCCGCCGCCTGTTGCCAGTCAAGGGCTACACCCGCAAAGCGGCGGCGCTGGAGGCCATGAAGGACTACACCAAAGCCATGGACGTCTACCAGAAAGCCCTGGACCTCGACGGCGCCTGTAAGGTGAGCGCCGCTTCCCGCACAGGCGGCGCCCGCTACAGCCGGYGGGGGTTGTGTGGGGCTCGGGGGGGCGTCAACTGCCCCCGTCCCCCGCTACAGCCGCACCAACCGCCACCGGCGGGCGGTACGGGAGCGGTGTCACCAACCGCCGCCGTGCGGCTGTTGCTGCAGGAGGCGTCGGAGGGCTACCAGCGGTGCCTGCTGGCGCAGTACAACCGCAACGACACCCCCGAGGAGGTGAAGCGGCGCGCCATGGCCGACCCCGAGGTGCAGCAGATCATGAGCGACCCGGCCATGCGCCTCATCCTGGAGCAGATGCAGAAGGACCCGCAGGCGCTGAGCGAGTGAGCGGCCGCCTGACGCGGCACCCGGTGGTGGTGGTGTCACCCGGCGGTGTCACCCGGCCGTGTCACCCAGTGGTGGTGGTGTCACCCGGCGGTGTCACCCAGTGGTGGTGGTGTCACCCAGCGGTGTCACCCGGCAGGGTCATCCAGCAGTGTCACC